AATTCGTTTCTGTTACTTTCCGTTCTGCTATTTTTGTTAAAAGGGATTAGTTCTGGGCTGATAGCCAGAAGAATTTGAAAATAGTTGTTGATGAATTTAGCCATGAAATATATTAAAAATAAAATTATATCTCTGCAATGTGGAGAAGGCAACTTGTATTGCAACTGCTGACCATCCTATCACTCTCAGTCTTCTAGTCCAACGGTTCTGCAAACGAAGGCGAAACTTTGACGTTCGAACGTTGGAACCGATTTGTGCAGACGACTGAAATTCGTCCGACCCACGTGCTAAGATATTCCCCTAGAAAAGCAAGTTACTATCTTGTCCTTTCCAACGTTACGTGTGAAGTTGAAATTGTTTGATTAATCCGATTAGCACATCCATTCTAACTAGGAATGATACCCCGATTGACTTAAAGGAGTGTTATTGATTTTTAAGCGCAATTGAGCAATATTAGCCTCGTTTCTTCGACATGATGGCAAGGGCATAAAGCCATTGATAATAACAGTCAAAATGGATTGTTATTCAGCTCACTTAAAGCACACAGATAGGCATTCAATTCTTAGACTTTGATCATGCAAGCCAATACGTTAACTGTTGCGCAACTGACAAACCAAGTTTAATTGAAAGGTATGCTATCTACTTACCGGGTACCGATTCGAATCCTCCATTTAATGGACTTGCAAAATGTGTCTTAGAGAAACTGAACCTTCTAGTTTAACATTTAAGTTTGCTATTATGGGCCTAGTTGTGGCTATACTATGAAGTTCGAGTGGGAACAATAGCGATAAATCGATACAGAAAACCATCAAGCATGGTGAATTCTTGAGAAGTTTGAGAAAATACAACCGAGTGGCTGTGTTACATTCTAACACCTAGCAGAGTCCTCTGACATGAGTATTTGTTCCCAACCGACTGTAAAGCGTGATCTGCAACTAATTACATTCCATCTGAAAAGTTAGCTGCACACACGCGCACACACACACAACGCAGTTACTCGCTACACGATCGATAGCATGACAGCACTTTCCAGAATTTTCTAGCGTGCGCAAGATTCTTTTGGTCAGCATTGTGTACTTCACAGTTGTCAATAATCCAATTTTCAAAAAACCCTTATGTGACGTGCGTTATTATTGTGAAGCTTTTATTGAAAAAAACTCCGCATGATTTAAAACATATGCTGTTTATAGAAAGGTAATAATTCTCATTTTTCCGCACTCACTGTAGTTTAATCATTTTTAATCACGTAGCAAGTTGGTCATATTAATATAGGGAATAATAAAAAATAATACATTATTTAAATATCGCATATATTTTAAAAATTAACTGATTCGCAAATCATGAGTAAGAAAATTAACTTTAAACATATTTTCCTAATTGAATTCCCAATGCTGGAGATTATTGGCGCCAATATTCGTTACAAGCTTGCGCATTTTTTCGGAAATTCCATCATATTTGTCATTGACTATAGATTTCTTCTTCAACTGATGCCTCTGAGCTCATGAGTGTATCTCGCCTGTCTAAATTAAATGAAAGGCGTCTCGACATTATTTAGCACAGATGTTGCCGTCCAAGGTCAGTAATCTGGAGTGGTGCACTAAAAGTCAATATAGAGTAAAATAACTTTATAATTGGTGTTTGGTCTTAGATATTAGTCATAGCCGAGAGGAATGATTTTGCTTTTGCCCTTGAGCCTTCGGCAATTGGATTAACGTCTAGCCTTGCGTGGGCCGAGGTAACAGGTTGAAAGCACGCCAGGACACGAACAGGGGACTGACGGAGCTTTAATGCAAAGCTTTGTCTAGGGTTGTTGCCAAGTCACCCATCAGTCATCTCAGGACGAAGCCGAACACCGCTTTTGACAGCTTGACAGTTATTTGAGACTAACACTGCTATCGGTCCAAAAGTAGTAATTTGATCTCCCAAAATCAAAACGAAGACAATCTATATTTACATACTGGGGTGTGCGATAGACTTACCTCCACGTGGTGCAACCTGGGCAATGTATATTCATACGGCAAAAAAGTCTATTAACTGGCAATTGACTTCTCACTTCAAACTACCACGACCCCACTGTATGTCATATTCTACCACTTCCACAGTAATCATCCTACCTTTTCTCTGCCTTTGGGTCAGTCTCTTTTACAACTGTAAACCACTCTTCTGTTCCCCCCCCCCTCTCGACTTTTTTCAATTTGATGTTCCTTCTCCTCTGTGAAGTCTGAAGTCAACTAAAGGGCTAATGACAACTATCAAGACGCCTGCCATTTGATATAAATAATAATACCAAAGTTGACAAAGGAAATCCCATGCATAATCGGACAGTCTGTAAGATGCAGTGAGTGCAGAGACCTCACATCCGACCAGTAATTAATAGCCGCCATAATGTAGCGTAGCCCTAATCGTATTTTAATGCCGAAGCTTTGCATCAATTTTCTTCAACCAGAGTAAACACCATTCATACCGCACGCTCTGTTTGCTTGGCATTCTTGAGGTAGCTTGGCTAATTTCGGAAGCAATTTAATACTAGAGAAATAGTTCGATAGAACAATGTTAAGATTTATTCATGACCTATTTGTGTAGCATCTACCACACGCGAAAAACTTATTCGTTCATATAAATCCATAGGTATATGGCCAATTGGCTACCTTAATAAGCCAACAATAAAGTGGTGATTCAGAAGTCTGATCCTTGGCATGTTGGGTCGCGATAGAAGGAACAGTACAATTAGGTCAAAAGTAAAAAAAAGATGAATCTACATGGAGCTAAGCTCATCCGCCACGTCTTGTTTGAGATATTTTATGAATTCTCGTGATCAATGAGTTTTAATTATTAAACTCCATATTTTATGTTTTTAGAGTAAAATAGGAATGGTAGATGGAAATGAAGCATCACCAAATTTGACCAATACTCAAGGTAGGTCAAACATGTGATTTGAAATGAAATAGATGAGTGAATTTGAAAAAATAATTTAGCGAATAGGACATGCTCTGAATCAAGCCAACTTCAATTAACACAAAGAAAAGCATTAATTCAGAGGTTCAGAAATTTAATAAAATAATGAAGGGTAGTTTGGAAGTCAAACAGGAACGATTAGTGGATGATATGGTAATACAATAAGACGATAAAAATTTTCTTTTCACATACAGCTTTCTTGACTTATATGTGGCCCAAATACATGCATTTCAGAAATTTTAATGAGATAGGCAGAGGAGTTCCCATGGGTTAGCGGATGATTCATACTTTGGCTTGATGAATTTGTCAAAAGGTTTCTTTTTTACCTGCTGTGGAAATCTTAATGAATCAGTGGCAATGCTCGCAAGATTTTTACAGGAAATGGAATTAGACTAAGACCTACTTTGAAAGCAGAAGTTGCACTTGATATAGATTTATGATAACAGTACAAAGAGAAGCCATCAAGATCTTAAGTCATTTGACTGTTCACTAGCTAGTACAAAAAAGGGTAAGAGACGTTTAAAACAGGAGGGCAATAGTACCTTACAAAGCAGGGCTCTAACTCACTATAAAATCAGCACAAATTAAGAGCAACTTTATTGCAACAACATGGTGAGTTGTATGAAAGAATAGTAAATAGTCACTTACCACGTCAACCAGAACAATCAGAACAATGAGTTTATACGCTGATGTAAGCTTTTGCAATCTCTCAAAAATGTATCCTGGATTGAGATTATGGTATCTTAAACTAAAACAAAGATGACACTAAGACTAAATAAAATATCTACTGAAATATGGCAAGTAGTTAAACTATCAATTACCTGAGAAAGAAACCACATTGAGTCGGGCCAAATACATAGTCAGGTTCGATCTCAGCATACTCCCATACAACGTGGCGAATCAATTCAAGAAGTGGGTTTCCTCGCTTAAAAAGAGCAACATAAAATTGAAGTCAACACTCACCTGGCGCGAACTAACAAGCAGTTTCTTGCTGTCCGTTGGAGGTCTACAGAAAGGAAAGTTGATGACCACTCGCGCATTTATAATATAATCGAAGCGTACTGGCCAAACGATAAAACACAAATTAAGAAAATACAAAACTATTGCAGATTCGAGATCAGACCTGAAGGTAATGATAGTCGTCAGGAATAAAATATAAAAATATCTCTGTGATATTTACTACAATTTATCAAACCAACATTAACATTCTTCATT